CCCCCCCCCCCCCCCCCCTCGGGTTCTTCGAGAACATTTGCGAGGCGATGGGGGTGGGGGACTGATGTGAGCTCTTGTGGCCGCATATACGGGGTTTTTCTCCCTGGTGATTTCTTCGCCCTGCGTTTCTCTTTCTTGTCTTTTCCTTCTTGCACACACACACACACGTACGCAGTTCCCATCGCAGTGGAGAGGGAGACGGGGTTCCGGGGAGTGGCGCTGCTTGTAAAACGCTCGAGTTGGCGTTCATACCTCTTGATTGTCGTTGATTCGGACAGAGCGTTGCAAGGAGCGAGGGACAGAGAGATCCGCGAAAGAAAGGAAGAAGAGACTGTGTCGGCAGAATCCTGCTTTGCCTTCAGAGAGGCGGAGGAATAATAATCAAAGCAGTTGGGTGCACCATGAGAGGACGCTCCAGAATCGTGCACAAAACTCCAGGATCGCGCGACAGCAGTACCACCCGGCGCTCCAGGTCAGCAGTCGGAGCTGTACGTTTGCCCATCAGCAGTGTAGAAAATGTCTTTGGTGACAAGCTGAAAGGCTACAGTACGCGTGATGAGACATCAGGGAGCATGTACGGTGTGGGGGACTGTACGGCATGCAGTTCTTGGCAAAACAGGGTGGGGGAGGAGGGCTTCACCTACACCCCAGAATGCCCGCGCCTGGGAAGCATGTACGGGGAGGCTGCACTTTACGAGATGCAACGAAACTGTGGATACGGTTCTCAAATGGGCATGATCGCCTGTAATGCCTATAGTTCAATGTACGATATGGGTACAATGCAGGGATCCACGTATGGCATGGGTGCAATGCAGGGATCCATGTATAGCATGGGTGCAATGCAAGGATCCATGTATGGCATGGGTGCAATGCAAGGATCCATGTATGGCATGGGCAATTATGGTCATGGCTCCATGTATCAACCACACGTGCAGCTGGGCAGGGTTGTGAAACTGGATGTTTCGTGCCCTTATACATTTCCTTCAAACCTCACAGCACCTGGATTACGACGTCACATACTCAGCAAGGTGGGCACGCAATACGGATCATTTTATGCTAACGCGAATACCCCACCAAACCCTATACCAAGGGAAAGAGAAGAAGGGTGGGAGACAGAACAGCAAGAACAGCAGCAGACAGATCAGCTGCCACGAAATGAACCTGAGAAGCAGCATAAGTCAAGGCGGCAGCTACAAGAATGTGAGACGGAGCAGGAGCAGCATATACAACAAGAGAGTGAGGGATCACACGAGCGGGAAGAACTTGAAGAGCAGCTAAAAGAAGACGGATCAAGGTCTCAGCTGAAGCGGGATCAACGGCAACGGCGGACTCTGACTCACACGGCGAGAAATCTGGCTGAAGCTGAAGGAGAAAACGAGGCACCTGTATCTGTGTCAACCAAAAGCGCATCAACGGATTTCTCTTTCTGCAAGGAGAATTGCATTCCTGTTGCATCTCCGACCAATCAGGCAGCGGAAGACCCCTGTCGTGTCCGCACTCTGGTGATTATCGAAAAGGACGTCGCTGTGGATGCAGCTGCTATCTTCACAATAGCTGGCAATACAGTTATGTTGGGGCAGCAGAAGTACACGGCAAACGAGGTAATGCTACATGACCCATGTTCGGAAGAGGAGGAGGAAGTGGTCAAAAAGTCCATTGCCTTGTCCAACATGATCAACGACTTGCTGAGCGGCCACAACTCAGTGCTCCTCGTTTCGTCTGACGGAAAGGCAACGACGGCATCGTATGCACTGGTGCTTGCGTCGCTGAAGCAAATTGTGCGGCGGCTCCACGCCCAGGATATGCGTCGGAGCAGAGAGGCCGTTATGACGTTAGCATTCTCATCGTTAAGGCGTGGGAAAGTGAGGGACCTGTTGTCTCACAAAGGTGGGACAGGTGTCGCTGAGCCGATTAAGTTGGCCGAATCCCCTTTGCTTGGTACAGTGATCCTCAACACCACCACCGTCGAAGTCAATACCGTCAACGACTGTGAGCGTTACGTACAAACGGCCCTACAAAACGAATCCGAGTCGTCAGAGGAGCTTGTTGTGGGTACGCTCTTGCTGAAGCAGTGGGTGAAAGAGACCGGAGATGTATTTATCTCTTCGTTCCTTGTAGTCCTATCAAGAGATGGGGTGAGGCCCTTCCTTAACGTCCGTCGGAAGAATGGCGATGCAAGCGCGGTACTTCTCAGCTGCGCCATTAACGGACCAAGTGTTGTTGTTCATGGTGTCTGCCTCGCCGAAATCAACAGTATCTGCGGTGATATGCTGCATCATGCAGAGGAGCTAGGAAAAGTTGTGAGCTTGCCTCCATACAGTGGCAATGTGCGCCGTTTACTCGCGCGAGCTGGAAAAAAGGCGGTTTATTTAAAGGAAAAAGCGCAAACGGGCGACGAGGTTGCCGCGTTACAGTACCACCGCATCGAGGTGATGCTGAAAGATATCAGGGAGCTTCTGGAGAGACCTGAGGCCACAAAGGTGCCATTGTCTAGTGAAGTGTCCGACGGCGCTGGCCGGAAGGTGAGTTCACCGTTGAGTGATACGGCGGGTGCGCAAGGGAGCGGCGCGGGGTCGAAGGAAGCAGCAGCAGCAACAGCAGAGTCAGGGGCCGGTAACAGCGGGGAGATGATTGTGTCGTTCAGCGATCTCACAAAGATAAAGGATAGGGATTACACTAAGATCGCTGTGGCCGTACTTGCGGATAGGTTCAATAGTAGACGTGTCATGCGTACGGGGAGGAGCAGCGTGAGAGTTGAAGGCCAAGAGATGAATGGGGTGGAGTTCGCCACCTTGTCGGAGGTAACGCCAAAGAAGGTGCCTTTCCATTGCATCAAGAGGCTCTGCGATGCCTTCGCACATGGCACCAATGTGGCGCTATTAGCTCTCGATAGCCCCAGTGCTGCGCCAAATCTGGAATCGCCAGCGTGGGTGGCAATAAATCAGGCGGTTGCAACGGCGTTGGACCGCAAAAGCAGTAACAGGGGTAAAAGCAACGATGACACCGAAGAAGTGTGTGATCTACGCGCATCCATTGTACTGATTTCTGGTGCCGAAGTGATGGACCTCGTGAAGGTTTCTGGCACTATGGAACGGCTCGTCGTCGCGTCGTCGCCGCTTTTCGGCCCACTGGTGGCGACGGCCGAACTTTGCGCCGTTCCAAGTGTTGATGCGTTCGGTAAAATGGTGGCGGTGGCACGAACGAGTGCCGTGGGAAAAACTTCTAAGAAAACTTTTGTGGTGGTAACGCTTGTGCTGCACGCAACACACAACGGGGACTCATTTGTATCATCCTTTTTTGGATGCCTGGCAGGACAGAATACCGCGCTGTACGAGGACGTCCTGACGAAAAATGCTATTGAGCCACACTTGAAGCTCTGCTCCAATGCTGTTAGAGGACCAGTGTGCTCAGTTCTGCTGCTGGGTCTTCACAGCGCTGATAACAACAAGTCGCTAGTGGAGGCACAACAGGCAATATGTGCTGTCGAGCACCCGCCAGTGAGGAGTGGAAGTGTCCGTAAGTACTTGGAGCACAACCGCGCCGCCATTCGCTCCCGCCGTGAAAAGCTGGAAAAGACGAACGACTCGCATGAGAAGGCGTACTTGGGGCTGGTCGTGAATCAAATGGAGAGGATGCTGCGGGACTACGCGGCGCTGCTGCGCGAGCCGGAGAAACACTTCCCGCAGGTGTACAGCACCATATTCGAGAGAAGCAATTGGCTGATACGGCGCGCGGTCATGGTAATTGTTGAGGAATGGGACCCGTGCGACGCATCTGTCGTGACCCCGAAGTCCTCCTCCACCTCCCTCACAACAAAGTTTGATGTGGCGGAGGCGGTGGCGCTTAAGCCCGAAGGTTCAGTTCCGACGCTCTACACGCTGCAGGCAATGCGGGATAATTTTGCCGCNATGCAAAACATCGCGTTCCTTACCGCAAATGCCACGAACACACCCTTCGCGGTGGACCCTGTGTGGATTGAAACGCGAAAGGTGATCTCTGGTGTCTTGACAGACGTGGGTGAGGGTGAGAAAGTGGCGTTGGATCTCTTCAGCGTCATTGTGCACGGAGACGAGCTGCTCGCCGACCTTTTGATGTCCCCGGGCAGCATCACTGCCCCTGTCGTGTTGCAGACGGTGTTGTCGCCGCTTGTTCCTCCGCTGCCGCATCCCGCCACGCGCGTGTATGTGACGGACCCCTCCAAGGCCGATGATGTCATTGCATCGGTGCTAAGGCGGGCCGAGGCGTATCGGGAAGAGATAAACGTGAAGGGTGCAACCCTCATCTTCGGTGCGCTTCAACGCCGCTACAAGGCTGACGGGGACGTCGTCCTGTCGCTCATGTCCGTAGTGGCTACCGGACCTGACATGCAGCCTTACCGGGAGGTGGTGGAGGAACGATCCTTGACGGCGGTACACGTGTTGCTTTCCGGTATGCTGGAGCGCCCGTGCATGAGTGTCTTCGTCTTGACGCTGAAGAGCGGAGATACATCCTGTGCAGAAGCCCTGTTGTTGCAGAAGAAAATATGCGCCTCGTACAACACACCGCAAACTGCACACACTGTCAAAGAATTCATTCAGTATAGTAAGAAATTTCGCGACCGGCTCATTGAATCAGGAGGGAAAAAGAAGGAGCGTGCCAAGATGGAGAAGTTGGAGGTCGCTGCCAAGGACCACGCGGTTCTGCTGGAGGATTTTGACGCAGCTGTCCCGTTGTATCTCACCATGGGTATCAAATACGTCCAGGCACCACACCACGAAGGACGTGAGGACGTCAAGAAAAAGAGGAGCAACAGCAGCATTGGAAGTGGCAGTGACAGTAGCAGAAGAAAAGGTAACGGGGTCATGCCAATCTCCAGAATGGTAGTGGTGACAACAAGGCGCACCGACATCGACGCCATTACAGTGGATAGGGATGAAAAGTCCCTCACGGTGGAAAATGCGGGAGGCAAAAGCAAACGGTTTCTTGTTGACGAGGTCATTACACGGTGCAGCGTCGCCGCACGCATCCGGTCACCGCTGCTGGACGAGGTGTGTGGTCGTTTCATCGCCGGCTACAACTCGGCGTTGCTCACGTCAGCGACAACCCCTTTTAGTGCAGAGATCACCCTGGTTTTGCGCACCGTAAATCGCGTCTTTGTATCGCTGCCGCCCAACAGCGAGTTGTTTCTCTCGTTGGTGTCTGTCCGGGCGCTCAAAGCACGCGATATTCTCGTGCGGGGCAGTGCGTTCGAGCCGTACACGATTGCATCGTCGCCGCTCTTCGGACCAATGGTACATGGCGCCAAACTTGTGCGGCTCCACGACGCGGCGACGCTCATGAAACACCTGACCTCCACCATCGATCTGGAGAGCGCTATGTGTGTGGTCCTACTCGTGCTGAAGCAGGTGGTGAAGCAGCAAGATGACGTTGTGATTAGCTCGCTGCTCATGACACAGTCGGGGCGGGACCCGACGCCGTATTTAGAGGCGGCGGCGGCAGAGTCGTCCAGGGACCGCGGCCTCGTGCGCCATGCGCTGGGCGGAGCGTGCTTCACCGTTGGTGCCGTCTGCCTTCACACAAGCGGCGACGGTGGCGCGGAGTGGCTCCTACAGGCGCTGGAGACGATGGCCGCCGTGCGCTGCAAAAGGCCGTTCCACGGCAGCGTGCAGCGCTTTCTTGACTACANATGGCCGCCGTGCGCTGCAAAAGGCCGTTCCACGGCAGCGTGCAGCGCTTTCTTGACTACACCAAGGGTGCCCTGCGGTGCTTCCGTGCGAAGCTGGGGTTGGTTGACGGGATGGAGAGGGCGTCTGTCGAGCGGTGGGTGGTGACGCTGGAGACGATGGCGCGCGATGCGATGAAGATGCTTGACTCGCCGGAGGGTGTCATCCCGCCGGTGTACCTCACGAGTTAACCGCACGGGCAGCGAAAACTTCCCGCACTGGGAGTGTAGGGGCGCAACACAAACACCAACGACTCGCGCTGTGGTGGTAGCTGTGGTATCGAAAGCCGTATAATTGCAATGGGTGCAGGTGTTTAGGTGTATTTCTTTGCTCGAATGAAACAAAAAAGGTATCACGGTGCGCAGTACCATTTGTTATCGAAAGTAACCCCCCCCCCCCCNATGGTGACACGTACATATACGTATATATTTATATATATATATGTTCACGCCCACTCCCAGTTATTCGCAACGACGGATGACCACGTGCATACGAGCGTGGAGTCAAGTGGGCAGGTGAGTAGTGGTATGCAACGAAACAGGAGAAATTGGGTAATGTGCTGTGAGATCAGGCTAAAGAAAAAAATTTGTGTCAAGAGACTTCTGGCGGGTCGACGTCTAGAGGCAGGCCTGCTGAGTAGATGCGATGCCAAAACAGACGCGCCACCAGTGCGCTGGGGTCTTTTTTTGCTTCCTTTGTTTGCGCAGCCCACTCACTTCAAGACGTGCACATGAGCTTGGCGTGGGGGATTCCTTTCTCTGTTCCTCTACCGGTCTGTTTGTGTTTCTGCGTGTGTGTGTGTGTGTGTGTGTATTTCAATGCATTTTGTTGCATTGTCTTTTTGCAGTTGTAGCGTGTTTCCTCTCTGCATTATGTGATGCCTATGTTTTATGCTTATATTTTCTTTTACCTCTGGGGACTTATTCTTTCCGTTTTGCTTTTGTGATATATATATATATATATATGCTTAAAGGCTCGCTTACTGTACCCACCACAAGATGCTGCGGTTCTGCGAACAGCGGCAGCAGGAAACGAAGGAAACATGAATAAACAGGAGAAATTGCAAGTCAAGAGGAAGAACGAGAGGGTGATAAAGGGTTCGTTGTGCTTTCCTGTTTCATGTGATGAAGTATTTCTTGTGTGACACGGTATTGACCGGTCGATACTTGTTACGTTCATGTGAGTTCTTCCTGGTGCGTGGCACTCCTTCCCCTCCCATTCTATTCATTTCGCCATTCCCCTCCGTCAGCGCGGCATGTGCTCTCCCCTCGTTTTATTTGTCCGCATCTCCGCTGCTGCCCAACATCGTTCTCCATATAACGGAAGTCCAAAGAGGGAGGGTCCGCGAGGAGGCTGAAAAAGAACTGCTCTTCAATTCGGTCTTTGGACATTTTGATGTCTGTCTTCTCTTTTTTGTGCGTATGATTTGTTTTTAAATCCTTCCTAGCGTCCGAAATGGCACGCGAGGGAAAAAAAAGTGCAAAGATTCATATATCTCTTTCTCTCTCTCTCTNTGATCTGTTGGCAGGTGGCGTCGAATATTACTTGCTCTGTGGGTGTGGGTGTGTGTGTTTTGCGTTTGCGGCTGGGGTTGGTATTATCATTTTGCCACCTGTTCCTGCAACATCTTGGTGGGTGGTCACACCCCGCCGGAAGAGAGACAAACTCTCACGCAGTGTCTCTTTTTATTATAATTATTATGATTGTTAATTTGTTTTGCGTACGTTTTTCTCTTGTCTCTCTGCTTAAAGAAAAGAGACCTGAGTCTGATCTCATCTTAGGTGTGCGTAACAAACTCGGGTACACGAGGTAGAGAAGCGTTTTTCCCCCACTGGACAAAGAAAGGCAAAGAAGCCGAACTGAAAAGGGCATAGTTAAAAAACCCACAAGAGTAACCATACATCCCACATGCAAGGTCCCCCGTCAATGCCATACCCATACCCGCCTAATCACGGGCCGTTCATGTACCCGGGAGCACCGATGTGTGACCCCATGGACCCACACTCCATGTGGATGATCCCACCGCATTACGACATGTGTGAAATTTGCGTGGAAGAACCCTTGATTACCAACAGGAAGTCCCTCAATGGTCCAATGACTGAAGAAGAAAGGGGTGACTTAATGCGGCGTCGCGCGTCCAGTCAAGGAGACTTTGGATCAGGACGTCCAGCAAGCGGCCTTTCTCGCAGCGGCAGCTTTTTCTCGGCTGGGTCACGTCGAGGCTCCCTCTCGCGTGGGACGAGCTCCCGCGAGTTTATTTACGACATGTACGCCCTGGAGCAGGAGGAGCGCGAAGTCTTCAAGGAGTACTACGGCGATATGGCGGACCGCAAGGAGCGCTTCGAGAGAGGCGGGTCAAAGGCCATTGGCCACCAACGGGACGTTGACGGCAGATACGCGAACAAACCACGACGCTCAGGAAACCAAAAGCGGAGCGGCTACGGTGGTGTGTCAAGCCACCGCGAGATCGTCATGAAGTCAGGCGGCAAGTGGGGTGACATGGAGCTGCCGCGCAAGACCTCTACGCGGCGCATCAACATCCCAGTGGAACGGCCGGGGGTGCCGCGCCTGCCAACGGTTCCCTCCGTCATACCCGTTGTGGTGGAGGAGACNGCATCAACATCCCAGTGGAACGGCCGGGGGTGCCGCGCCTGCCAACGGTTCCCTCCGTCATACCCGTTGTGGTGGAGGAGACGCCAGAGCCCGTGCATGTGCTGAGCCAAATCGATATGTCGATTTACGATGACGGTAATATTTTCACGGGTGATAAGCCTAAGTCAGAGAAGCCAGTAAAGAAATGAGCATGCGTAGAAACGGTGGACCATTCCCTCTCTTCTCACATCTGACGCTGCGAGAAAAGAGTGCATGGTGTAGGGAGGAGCGGTGATTGAAAATAGCATAGAAATACGAAATCTGAGTGTAGGACGTAAATACAGATTTCAGCGCCGCGACCTCTCTACTCCGATGTATTCTTCCCTTCCTAACTGTTTTTTTTTATTTCATTTTCATACCTCAATGTCTGTGCCACTGATTTTCATTGTTTGGGATTCCCTTTTGAAAACGAGTTCATGTGCAATTTGCGTGTCTGCCGCCTACCTGTTGTGGGGTGGTAGCATATAAAAAGTTTTTTTTTTGTTATGTGCATCTGTAAACGTCTTTCTGACTTTAGTGATTAAGATACAGGCTCCGACCAAATGAAAAAGAAAGACAGGATACGTTTAGCGATAGTTGAGGGTGTATAGCAGATCAGCAGGTGCATGATGTTTGCCAGGTAACCATCACCGTATTTTTTTTCGTTTTCTTTGTTTTGTGTTTGTGCTTTACTCCCTCTGGGGGCATTTACAGAGCTTTGTGAATGTGGTCATGCTCCCTACGTTCAATAAGTGTGACAGTGGTGCATTCCCCTCTGCCACCTGTGATGTGAGCTCTGTTGGTCTCCCCACTCGACGCCGCTACTCTCTCGACATCTTGCTCGCGTTGTCTTTTTTTCTCTCTATTTCCACCTCACGGTGTGACAAAGATAGTGAAACAAGGTGGCTTTGACCCGGCCACTGTGTGCTTGTTCTTGCGACTCAGTTCTGAGCCGTGACTCCACACGAATGCAATTTGGGCTGTGCGGCATGCTGTAGGTCTCCGCCTGTGCTTGTGAAGCGCATTTGCAAGATAAAAAAGAATCGGTTTTATTTTTATAGGCGTCTGCGCGGCAATGCGACTCCTTTAGAGATGTGGCACTGGGGAGTTGAGGTGTGGACGCCGTGGTTGATTTGCGTGGCTCTGCTGAGAGGGCGCTGTATGCATCCCAGGATTGTGTGGGGCTTTCTTGTTGCAAGTGCGCGTTGTGGCGCTGCCGTTTTGCGGCACGGGGACAGATAATAGCAGCAGATATGTGGTGTACTCGCAGAACACACATCGTGCCTTTTTTTGCTTTGATAAATGCATCGTAAGGCTACGTGAGAGCCTTTCTTCTTTGGTTTCTTCTTGCTGTGCTTCCAACTAATTACTCCTGAAGGTGCATAACTTCAGCCTGGGGTACCGCCCATTCCTTCGACTGCGTAATTATTTGCAGCCAGTGGCCACTGCCAATGTGATTTTTTTTTTTCCTCCAGTGCCCCATTGGCGCTAATAACGCAATTCCTGCTGCTGGGTTGTATTGGCGCGACATACAGCATCGGTGAAAGCACAGCGCGTCCACCATAGTTGAAATAAGAGCCAGCTCAAAAATAGACCGTTGTTGTCATAACTTTCTTGTGTTTGGGCACGTTTGGCCAATCACATATTCCTAGAGAGAACCCTGCCAGCGTGAAAATCCCACGTGTGTGCTTCTTTTGTGTTACCTTTATCCAAGAAGAAAGAGAAGGCCAACCCCGAAGCAATACGAGCCGTTAGACAAGGAATTAGCACGCAACCTTGCACCAGACACAGAAATTTTTTGAGGTTTTGTACCTCCTTTATCCGTGAAACGTGTCTACGGCAAAATGGCAGCGTTATCTAGTAGTGTTGTGATCCACCCAGCGGATAAGCACGCAATCAATGGATCACAGCCCCGCATGGTGCGCACTGGATCACAGACACAAATGTCACGCACTGGACCACAGACACAAATGTCACGCACTGGATCACAGCCCCGCATGGTGCGCACTGGATCACAGACACAAATGTTACGCACTGGATCACAGCCCCGCATGGTGCGCACTGGATCACAAGGAGTGGGTCCGCGTGCTGGTATTCCCTATGGAGGAATGGGTCAAGGCAATGGAACCCTGCAGAGATCTCCCAGTACCCTCTATGGTGGAATGGGTTCGCAGTCAGGGTCCATGCGTGCTGGTAGCGCATATGGTATGAACGGCCAGGGTGGCTCATTTTACGGTCAAGGCATGGGAAGTGCTGGTGGAATGAGCGGCTATGGTGCGGGCAGTATGCAGAATTCGCAGATAGGCAGTATGTACGGCATGGGGGGTCCAATGGGTATGGGCAGTATGTACGGTCCTCCAATGGGTATGGGCAGTATGTACGGTCCTCCAATGGGCATGGGCAGTATGTACGGTCTTCCAATGGGCAGTGTGTGCCTCCTCATTGCCGTGCCCTCTATGTACGGGCTCCCGTCAGGAATAGGGAGCATGTACGGGCTCCCGCCAGGAATAGGGAGCATGTACGGAGCTCATTCAGGAATGGGCAGCATGTACGGAGCTCCTTCAGGAATGGGCAGCATGTACGGAGCTCAATCAGGTATGGGGAGCATGTATGGGTCTCAAAGAGGTATGGGCTCCATGTATGGGTCTCAGAGAGGTATGGATTCCATGTATGGAGGTGGAGTCATAAGTGGTCCGGCATCGATGGGTCTTCATCGCTTGGGCGATGATCAGAAAATCCAAACAGCGAAGAGTCCCTCCTTAAGCGGCATTCGCACGATGGTGGTGGTTAGTGACAAGGCTGGTTCCAAG